TGAGAAAAAGAGGGAGAGAGGAGGAAGACAGAGAAAGAGAGAGAGGAGGAAAGAGAGGGGGAAGAGAGAGAAAAATGAGAAAAAGAGGGAGAGAGAGGGAAAGAAGGAGAGAGAGGAAAGAGAGAGAAAAAGAGAGAGGAGGAGAGAGAGAAAAGGAGGAAAGGAGGGAGAGAGGGAGACAGAGAGAGGGAGCAAGTGAAAGAGAGAGGAGGAGAGAAAGAGAAAGAGGGGGAAGAGAGAAAAAGGAGAAAAAAAAAAGGTGAGAGAGGGAGAGGAGGGGAGAGGGGAAAAGAGACAGAGAGACCTACAGATAAAGCCTAGAACAGACTGATCACTAATGGATTTTCTGGAAGGAAGGTCCATAGATTTCAACAAAACCTTCAACAAATTATGAGACTGCAAATTAAGAATCATATTTCAGAGCCATAGTTTTCAAACTGGGGCATCACATCCCTCTGGTTGTTTAGGGATGAATGGAGGTTAAAGGGGCTACAAGGAGGTGGGAGAGAATTATGACCTTCTGGACAAGAAAGTTGGAAAAGGCTCTGAATTAAAACAAGGAATTTGGGATGGGTGTGATCTAGTTAACTAAGTGTGTGCCGTTCCTGTAAATTAGCCTGTGACCCATGATCTATAGCCCATGAATAAGCCCCCCATAGAACAAAGATAAGAATCCCCATCACAGAACAGTGCTGCCATAATTGCCACAAACATCACAAGTAAAATAACAGTTAATAATTATTGATGTAGAGTAAAGAAAATTGGATTTATGTGACAACAGAGGTAATCCATAACAATGAAGCCGGGACAGCACGCCTGGAAGGCCTAAAGGGAGCCAAGGGAATTCTTATGGATGAACGTAGGAGAATCAGGGTAAGTGTGCATGCTGGTGCACTGCCTTTGTGTGGCATCAAGGGGGGCCCTTTTCCACTCTCCAGGAAAAGTCTATGCTTATCCATGCCTTACTTTAAATACAATATATTCATTTTCTTTACTTTACATAAACTTTGCTTCTGTTCTGCTATACTGGAATCCCAGTTGCCTCATTTTCCACTCTCCCAGTTTCTTACTCTCCTTTTGCCGGAACTGAACTTGCTAGTTCGGCTGGATGAGTTGAACCAGGTCCACTGACCAGTTCAAAGGTGAATTCTCACCTCCACCATGGTGGTGCTCAAAAGCTTTCTAGCCCTATGAGGACAGGCAAATATTTCAGGAAATCAGTGTTCATATTTTCACTTTCTGCAAGTTCTCCTTCCCCAAATCAACCTGCCTCAGAACTTCTTGTGGTCCCTTTTTCCATCCAAAAAAAGGTCTCCACTAATCTCAAGGCACAGATAAAGTAGGAGAACATTGGTAATAAATATTGTTGGAGGTAGGACTTACTTTATCACGGCTACAAACCAATGGCTTTAGCTATCTATTTTACGTTAGATTTCACAAGTGAGTTGGTTGCTACGGGTACAGCTACTAACACTTTTGTTTGAACAGAAAAATCACCTTCAACTATTGTCCAGCAGTCAATCTGATTAGTTTGACATTGATACAGACTTAAATTACACAGTGGTCATTTTCTATTAATGGACGAAGTTAAACTTAGCAGTTCTGAAGTTTTGATCACAATATATTTAAAGCATGTGCATATTAAATAACAATGCTAGCATTCACATCCCTTGCAACTGTTTAAATTAACCTTAAGAAACATTAGAAATTAATTTTTAAAAATATGAGAAAATATAAGGTTTTCAAAGTCTAAGTTAATTAGCTGCACAGACACACAGGTGCTACTCTGCCTTCTTTAGCATTTGAATAAACACAGAGCCTGAAACTCAGCAGGGAACAATTATAATTAAAGGAATTCAAGTGATTGGTCCTGAAAGTCAAAAGCACTTCTATCATGGCATCTGTGCTAAGATCAATGGGCATGCGTAAATGTCATTTCACAGTAGCAGGGAATTTGGGCCTTCACTGGACTTGGGTTAAAGTTGAGAAGTTCTTTTGAGAACTTTCAAATATCTTGGAATATAGCTATGAAAGAAAAAGGAGAGGAGAAATTCCAAGAGACAATCTATCAATTATGTATAAGAAATGTCAAATTTTACTTCTGAATTATTTACCATTTGCATGTTGTATCAAAAGTGAGTTTTTTAGATATAGTTCCAAGTATATTCTATTTTCTAAGGAAACCACAGATGATGTGATTATTTACTTTAAACTTAAGAACGGTCTGCACAAAGTAAAGGACATTATGCTAAAATGATATAGAGTAAAGTTATTTAGTTGGCTTTTTAGGTTTTTACATTGTGTTACAATGATGTAAGGAGAAGGGACACTGAGAAAGGAGCTTCCAGCCTGGTGTGAGAAAAACCTGGCCTACTGAACCAGGAAGTCTGGAAGGCCCATAAGAATGTGGGTATGAAGTAACCTAGGTAACCAATGACCAATAGAAAGAGAGAATTACTACCAATAGAAAAGGACAATACTGGCTAGTGGTGCAGAGAGGCCAATGAAAGACTTGCAGCCAATTTCAAATGAGGAATTTAATACCCCTGCAGGCCTTTCTCTCTGTCTTTGTCTCTCTTGCCTTCTCCCCATCATGAGAGGGACCCACTTCCAACTCTCTTTGCAAGTGCTTTAAACTTTTTTTGTTCTTCTTAAATAAAATCTCTGTTACCCTGAAACTTGTGTAAGTTACTTTTGCTTGTCATCTCCACTGCTGGTGACCCACCACTTTTATTTTCATTTTCCACTCATTTTTGCTCTCTTTTACCACCCAGCCTTGGTTGAACTTTCTAGCTCAGCTGAATAATTGAACCAGGTCAACTGGGTTTGGGGGAATCGGGACTCCCAACCTCCAACACTTTCTATTCATAGTTTCACGTTGAGACTAGTTTTCCAACTGGAATGAAACACAGTGTGAAACAAATTTTTGTTTCAGTTAAGTCTTGCCTATTGTATCTGTGAAACAATTTCTAATTCTGATTTCATCTATCAGAAGTGCTTCACCTCCCTGCCAAAATGAGATCGTCTCAGAGCAGAGTGAAAAGCCCCTATAAAAATGTAAAAGAAATTCAATTAGTCTTATCTTCTTCCTTTCTCTCATGAAAAATATTTTTCTTTACATTCATTCTCCAAATTTCATTTCACCTCTACATGTAGAAATATGGAGGCCAGTGGGCTACAGGGTCCCAAGATAATGGTGGCTCAAAGACAACATCTGGACACATATCTGTGTGCATAACAGCAGCTACCTTACCATAGATTTTCATTGGCTGAATATGAATCTGTAAAGAAACATCATAATCTACTATACAAAGTGTTTGTCCTTAGTCCATAAAAATGTATATTTTTCATAGAAAAGGTTTCCTAAGTAGTGAGTGGCCAGGTAGGTGGGTCTTGGTGGCTCTTTGGTCTATTACTACTGTGTTTCCCCCCAAATAAGATACTGTCTTATATTTATTTTTCCTCAATAAGACACTCTAGGGCTTATTTTCAGAGGATGTCTTCCTCCTCTCAGCGCCAAAATGCATGGTCTTATTATGGGGGTAGGGCTTATATTTAACAAATGCATAGAAATCCTGCTAGGGCTTATTTTTTGGGTAGGTCTTATTTTCGGGGAAACACAGTCGTTACTCTGAATCAAGCACCTTCAGGAACTCAGTATTCACCGCACTCATTCACTCTGCTGTTCTTAACAAAAGGAGAGAAAAATTGTGGCACAGTCTTTTGAAAATGAACAATTTGGTGATGTCTGGGTTTTATTAAATATTATAACAATATTGTGATAGAAATTATAGGCATTTTGTAACATAAACCAAGTGCTTCTGAATACTTAAAAAATAATTTAGGATAAACATACTTGAACCATCTGTCTTATAGAAAGTATAAGTAATTCAGATTCTTGATCGACACTATAGATTTTCTAAAAACATGGGTGAATAAGAACGGGAGTGCTTATATAATATTTCCAAATCTTTCGAGTTAGATTAGTGGTGCACAAAGTTCACCTAAGCATCTTATACTTTTCTCCTCTCTGCTTCTTAGGCAGTTCTTGATTGGCCACACTTTTTGCTTTTCATTTTGCAGTCTGGCAACTTTCACTTTTGACTAGCGTCTCCTTGTTCAAAGTCAAATTCACGTTCATTTCCCTTTTATTACTGACATTTCTAGCACTCATGTATACAGCTTTAAAAAATCATATGTGAATGAAAGGCAGTCTTTTGTTCCTCATAAATGCCTCAAACACTTTCTAAAACTATAAAATGCCTCCAAGTTATTCTTTAAAGACCTTTCTAAAAGGCATAATTGTTTTCTCTCATGTCTCCTTCAAACCACAAAAATATGAAACCCATTTAAATTGCAAACATTCCAGATGACACCTGTTTCTGATTTGTTTGCATTATTTTCCACTCCAAAGCACAACTGAAAGCTGAAAAATGTTTTGAACTCAGTGAGTGACAAGGGCAATTAAAAACTAAATTGGCATAATGTAGAAAAGATAAAAATCATTCTCTAATGAGAAGACAACCCTTTAAAATCTGGCTTGGATTTTACTTTTGTGTAGTTATGCTAAATGGTTCCATATCCATCCACCCTGTTTCCTTCTCTGGTGCCTAGGGCACCTCCGGGCAGTATAGTTTTGGTGTGGGGCACTGCCACTCCCTTAGGAAGATTCTTGGGTTGGAGAAGAGGGGAAGTTACAAAACATGGACAAAGTACTCTGGCCACATCCTGCTGCCACGGAGCAGCGCCTGTGTTGCTCACAGTGTCCTAGGAGGCACAAAGGACTATTTTAGATGCGTGAGATGTGAGGTTAAGTCCTCCCTCTGCTCTTGATTGTTCCAGTGCTTTGAGGCTCACATATCAGTGTAAGAATTAGTTTTAGAATGGGTACAAATCATCTAATTGGTATCACCAGGGTGGGTACAAATTGTTGCCCTTGACGTATCTGTACTGCTGGTTAAAATGACATAATAGTTGTTTTGGAAAAATATAATACCATGAGATAAATGTAAGGTCAGACAATTAAGTTCAGGAACTCATCCTAGGAAATATGTTCCATACACACCTGAGTATCACTGCGGTCACCTTTGAAGGACTCCTCTTGACCATCTGGTGACCATGGTGATGTTCAGCAATGAGGTATACAGCACTTTTTCTAGGATTAGTTTGAGAACTTAATTGTCAGACCCCATATGATACTTGCTCTGATGGCATTCCCAAAAACCAGTTTCAAATGCTTTGAATAGTGCACTAGGCACTGGCCTCAGTGCATACCTTCCCAAGGGGTGTGTTTCTAAGGTGATTTAAGAGTGATATTCAGCAGTGAGGTATGTAGCACTTTTTCTATGATGAGTTTGTGAACTTAATTGCCTGATCTTGTAAGTTATTCTAGTACTTCAAGTATCAGTAAAATGTTCTGCATGGGGTAAGTTCCTAACAAACATTGAGTGACTGAAGCAAGGGTGACCTAAGTTCACATTCCCTCTCCAGCTTAATCAATGAGGGCTCTCAAGGAGTGTGCATGGTGAATGGGTAGGGTCAAAGTGCTAGGGGTTGGCGACTAAGGAGATGCCATCGTCCACCCTGTCTTGCCTCCTGGAACACATTTTCCATCAGCTATATCCTAGCAAATCTTTTGGGAATCCCATAAAGAGGAAAAATTCAATTTAAATTTGCTGCTGAAAAAGCACTCTCTTGGAGATTTTATTTGCTATGCTTTATAAAAGGATATAGTTTCTCCATGACAGAAATTAATAAAATTCAGAAGCTTATTAATCCCTACACAATACTCCTAGATTTTGTCCACAAAACTGAGGGGGTTTCATAGAATATTTTAAAGCGTTTTCGAAGTGCTCACTTCTTTTTCATCTCAGTACATGTTGCAATATTCTAAACCTCATCAAATTACACTGCTCCTTTCATATTTGTGTGTGTATAAAAAGAGAACTACTGAGATTCACATTTTTTTTCCTTTCTGTTATTGCTGTTATAGAACCTATGAACTGGATTTTGATTTATTCACATCTTGTCTTGATTTGACTGTAAACATTTATGGGGAAGGACTGAATCTTATTTGTTTTAACCTTTTGCATCCTCTATCGCTAGCACATAATTGTCCTACACCACATGGAAAGTCAATGAATGAATCATTTAACTAATTACCGAATGATCACTCTGAAAATAATCTAATGAGGCTTGGCGCCCATGGCAAAGCGGTTACGGGGCCAGCCACATGCACTGAGGCTGGTAGGTTTGAGCCTGGCCCAGGCCAGCTAACCAACAAGGACAACTGCAACAAAAAAATAGCCAGGTGTTGTGGTGGGTGCCTGTAGTCCCAGCTACCTGGGAGGCTGAGGCAAGAGAATTGCTTAAGCTCAAGAGTTGGAGGTTGCTGTGAGCTATGATACTACAGCACTCTACCAAGGGCAACCCAGTGAGACTCTGTCTCAAAAAAAAAAAAAAAGTTAAATCTAATGAGACCAAAATATAAAACAATGCCTAACACAGAAGTAAATTTACTGAGTACTCTTCTTATTTCCCCTTCCACCCGAGCTGAATAGTGAAAAAAATACGTGAAGAGATCTATTCCCCTTAAGTTTTAGAAGTATGTAATATTAATCTGTTCGGGTGTGCTTGCTCCCAGTAAGATCATACAATAAATGTCCCTCAGCTCTTTTCCTTTAATTGCTCACATTGCTTTTCCTGTTACAGTTTCCAGCGGTTATCAACCTGCGGGTTGCGACCCACAGAAACTGTATTAAAGGACTGTGGCATTAGGAAGGTTGAGAACCACTGAAGTCTGCCCTATAGGAATTAGGATAAAGAGGAAGAAAAGAGGAGAATGTTCAAAGACACGTTCATCCTCTCCAACTCTGGTTTAACTGAAGTTGCATGAGATAGGCGTCCCCGAGTTTGCTCACCTTGGCACGTCTTCCCGTTGAGTGAGAGTTGGTAGCCAGGAGGGCAGAGGCACTGATAGCTTCCAAGGGTGTTCTTACACTCGTGCTGGCAGGTGTCTGTATGTTCACATTCATCAATGTCTGTTCAGAAAAAAGCAGTGGGGCGTCACCATGTAAGATAAAGGCAGACACTGCGACAGCCAGCTGTCAGCAAACTGTCGATACACAACAGAACAACTTCTGGGTGATTTACACTCGTGTTTAACAAGGCTCAGAGCTGGTTTACATCAGAATCTGTTTTTGATGATATAAAAATTTAAATATAGTATAAGATGCATAGTACTATGGTATAAAATATGATGATATTAAATGATATTAAATATAGTATAAAATTATAGTATAAATATTAAATATAGTATAAAATGCATAGAACTATGGTATAAAATATGAACATTTCTTCTGCATTGAAGTATATATAATCCAAAGCCCCACACTGGTCAATTTTCACGTTAAGTAAGTTAGACTGAAATAACAGAAGAAACAGATTTGGGCAAGACCTTAAACCGCCAAAGTGGTGGTAGAATGGCAGAAATTATCTAAAAGGTAAATTTTTCTATTAAGGTTAATTAAAACAAGAAGTATTAGTTTTTATTTTATTTAGACTTTGGCTGTCTCTCTCCTTATATCTCTTCCATCAACACCCAGGCAAAGCTTTCTCATGCATAGATACCATCACATGAAAATGGTTTCATTTTCATGATATAAATATTCATCAATTTTTCATACAACTGTAAAGTACTAATGGCAACGTATATATGTATATGCTTCTTCTTTATCTGTTTAAACCTTTTGCGCCTGTAATGCTAGCACATAATTGTTCTACACCACATGGAAAGTCAATGAATGGATTATTCAACTGGTTACCAAATGGTCACTCTAAAGATAAATGTAATGAGACAAAAATATGAAATAATAGTATTTGCTATATAATATAAATAACTATATATATAGTTGTTGTGCTACCTTTGGCAGGCCATTTAACTTCTCAAGATCTCAGCCCATTCTTCTGCCAACAGGGAACATTGAGACCATCCGCCCTACTCTACAAGTTGGTTGAAGTTTCATATATAGCTTAATACATGAGTATTTTTTAAACTATAAGGGCCATCTGATATTATTAAATAAGGCTAAGAAAATAGCAATAAAAATGAGAGTGAGAATAGATGGTAATTCAAAATTAATTAGTAGTTGTTCTAAGGATAAGGGATGTGATTTGGGAGGCCTGAGATTTCTTGTGACTAAGATTAAAATTTGCTCACCATCCCCGAGCACACTGAGCAGTAGAAGACTCAAGGAAGGGGACATGAGATGGCAACAGGAGTGCCATCGGGCAGAACTGAGGAGGAGACAAAGGGAAAGCTGGAAGGTGACTCAGAACAAAAGGATCTGTTCATTTTGCATATTTTGCACATGCTGAAAGTCTAATTGCAATGATTCAAAATCTGCTAATGATAAACACTCATCAAATATTTGTGAATGTTTTTGCATTACTTTAGTTACACCAAGTGTTCATTCCATGACTGGTATGAGTTATTTTTACTCTTTTCCTTTAAAATCTGCTTTAACCTAAAATAGCAGGAGAAATTTAAGTGCTGTTGAACTCCAACTAGTTAACATAGAACTTTCCAAAGTATGAATTTTAAAGTGGCCCCACGTGTGATGTCTGTGTTCAGAAAGAATGCGATGTTCTGTTATGTGTTGGGATCCTTCAAAAGCTAAATTTTAACTTAAGTCTACCAAGATTTCATAGTGTTAATTTGAGTCTTTTGTAATTTGCCTAGTCCTTCCAGTTAATTGAAAGCATTTGGTGTTTATTGCAAGTTGTTCTTGTTATGTAATTCCAAAGCTGTCGGCAATGTTGGTGTAAATTTCTTTATTAGTACCAATACTGTGACATACGCACTTACCATATTTTTATAAGTGTTTAAACCTATTAATTTCCACAAATAAACTTAAAGATCCAGAAATTGAAAATAGGAGTTTGCATTAGATTTTCTGGAATTGATCCTCACTGCCTCAAATAGTGAATGACGGCCCAAGAAAGATGATTTTGATAATAGAACATTGGTTTAATATATATAGAAAGACAAGACTCTACAATAATGTAAGTGCCGTCTTAGTTAGTAATGAAGAGAGAGAGAATGGGACTATTAATCAGGAATTCTTAAAATAACTTGGACATTCCGATAACTTAGAAGCAGCCAAGAAATGGCAGATAGTGTGGAAATGGTGTGGTCCAATTCCTTTGTCACATCATAAACAAAAAATTTGGGGGCAGGAAGGTAAAGGTAAACAGGAGACAAGAGGTTGTCTCAAATAAAGGCCGAGAGTGGATGGCCATAGGGTATGAAAACTCTCTAGTGGGAATGACTAGTTGGAAGAAACTTTGAAAGAGAAAAGGTCAGATGTTAATTCTCTCAATAAAATAGTAGTGAAACGTTTTAATGGGGAGTCAGGTCAAAACTGTGGGCATAAAACATTGTCAACACTCAGACTGGTTGATAGCAGGTTGAGAGTGGTTTTTAATACAATAAAAAGAAGAGCAGAGCCCACAGACTCAAATTAACTGGTTATTTGACCACATGGGACAAAATGTAGAGAGTTGTCAATGAACGCATTAATGTTTGATGAATAGAAGAAACTAGAATTGTCCACAGTTTGGAAAGCTGAGCACAAATGGGAAGTTTCTATATCCCTCATATTAAGCCTTCAGGTACATCACGATAACTAGACAGAATAGTTCTGCAAAAATATAAACACGAAAAACAAGGTGTAAAGGTTGAGTATCCAGAGGAATTGAGGATCTGCTCATAGAGGTGATATGAGAAGCTGGGTCCGTCTACTGTTGACCAGAAGACAGAACATCTAAGAAGATCATGATACAGGACCAGGGCTTGGAGAAAAGTAGGAAAAGAGATGGTAAATAGAAGTTTGAAGGAGAAAAAAAATATTTAAAATGGTCAGAAGAATTGTTTAACAGAAAGCACATGTAGAAGAGAATTAAGATAAATTTTAAAAAATGAGGTTGGCAGAGTGGTCTGTGAATTTAAACAGAATTCTTTTCTTCTTTCCCTCTTTATTTCCTTTCTCCCTTCCTTGCTTTCTTTTTCCACTTAACAGACAGTGAAGCTAATTCCTGTCTGCTAATTCCCCTTGGTTCCTTCAGTGACGTGCGCAGTGGGGATACTCAGAAATTGAGTTCGATGAATGACAGATGGTAGTGTTTGCAACTTAACTGAAAACGAGGTCTCAGGACTTAAGTTGGAAATTACGCTTCACTTTTGCAAACAAATAAAATTACAGACTTGCAAGTTTAAATACAAATATTCAGAGCACATATTTTAGAGGGATTGAAGCAACTTAATCTTGTCCTGGCTCCCATTATATTTTCAGGGACATAAAAAAAACCCCAATATAATCAAAGAGGGAAATTCCATGGGGAGCGTGTGGCAGCAGTGAATGGGATGTTCATTGTCCTGTAAGTGGACAATGGATGTGTAGTGGATTGTGTAGCTACAACTTTCGCTTCTAAACCAATGCTTTTGCATCAGTGAGATACAGCCAACATCTGGTGGTATTATGTTATGTGGCAGCCTGTGTATCCTTGTTAAAGAAAAACATATCCTGGATGCCCCTGACATTTATTTTTCTACAGCATTCCATTTGGCCATACTTTCAGGAGTGATCAAAAAAGAAACTGTTCATATAACACAATAAATTATTAAAATGCTCACATGCAAATACATCATTTATTTGAAGAAAGTCGGTCATAGTGTTAGGTGCCAGAATAAATGTCTTGAAATTTTGAGTCATTCCAGGCTTAAGATCAGATGTACTTCACTACCCCCAAACAATCACAGGGGCTGTCCGCATGCTTCGACTCTGATGAGTAAGTGAGCCCACAGAAAGGAAACGGAACATGGCCGACATTTACCTACGCATGTGTCATGCTTTGCCTCAGAGCCTTCGGGGCAAGTTTTCCTAATAGTCCTTCTAGTCCTGGAGAGAGATGTCCTGCTGTTCCTATACTCTGAGTAGGAGCTGTAGAGATGTGAGTACTGTCTGTACTGCTGCTGAGGTTGATAGTTGTTTCTCACAGGGGAGAACCGTGCAAGGTTATAGCTACTGTACTGAATGCCATAATTTGGCAGCCTCTCCAATCCAGCGCAAGATTTCCCGTCCCCTAATACATGTTGTCCTGGGGGACAGGTACACTTGAAGCTGCCGGGGGTGTTGGAACATTGATGTGCACAAGGTTTAGGCACTTGTTCACATTCATTAATGTCTGCTCGTGTGCCATGATACATAAAAGGAGAGAAAAAAAACACACACACATACACACACAAAACACAGGAATAAAGAATCAGTCTGGGAAACAAACTGAAGACATTATGTTACCCTCCAAAAGCCAGGAATACAGTAATTTCTCCCCAACTGTTATAAACAACTGAGAAAGCTTTACTCCTTCAGTTAGGAACAGAGAGAAAAATTCTGGAATTCTCCCTAAACATTGTTGCACGACATTGTTGCACGTATAGTATACACGTTTTGTTTGAACCTTCACATTGGAGCAGGTGACTCAGAAACCCAGAAACCAGTTCTGAGCATCTATCCTGTTTTTACTTTCAGTTGTGATGGACTCAAGACCTAAGGAACCCTGTTTCCAGTCTTATCTCCTTGACTAAAAAAACCAACTTGATGTTGTATCAGTTGGGCTAATTCGTTATACATTTTGGTATGTAACCATAAGTGAAACCTTGATATTTAAAATCTTATAAACACTATATTCAGATTGCTGAGTTCAACTAGCTAGAGATAGGCTAAATTGTTACAAATTTGTGTATCTTTCTGTTGGGGGTGGGGGGAAGATGCCAAAGGCTGTGCAATCACAAGCTCACACAATCAAATGTGCACATCTTCAAAACGTACTTCCTTAACTTTCTCTCTTTTGACAAATAGATCCTTCGGATGGATTTCTGATTTTTCTAATTGGTTGACAACATTGGAAACAATCTGTCTAGACCTAATTTTTCTAAGATGTAACTTAACGTTTTTATGCCAGTGACTTGGTCTTTCTGTATCCATCTTTGCCCTGCTATGCTTTATTCTCCCTACACCAGCCAGAATGACATTTTCCAAATGTTAATTCATCATATCACTTGTCTGATTGCTCAAGACCTTCTTTGTCTTTCCTTCACATATTTAAAAGAAAATATGAATTCTTTCTCGTGGCTTCTTTACCCTTTGCCTCACTTTGCTTCAACAGGACCGGCCCTTTGGTTGTACCTTGCCTACGACAAGTGTGTTTCTGTTTGAAGAACTCTGCCCTCAGCCTGGAGTGTACATGCTCAGACCTTTACAAAGCAGTGGCTCCTTAATTGTGTTCAGTCTCTCAGAGAGATTGCCTGGGCCATAGTGCTACCACCCTCCCTAATCTGGGTCAGTCTTTCCCCTTACCCTGTTTCTAATTTTTCTGAGTGCTTATCAGTATCTGACATAGTATTATATGTTTGTTTTGTGGTTTTTCTTTCCGTGGACAATAAACTCCATGAGGACAGAGACCTGGTCGGCCCTGGTTAGCATTATAATCTCACAACCTACAACATGGTCTTGCACAAATTAGATGCTCAATAATAAAAAAATTGTGGAATTAATGCAAGAGTGAACTTGACATCATGTGCCAAATCAAGCCACTAGCCACAGAAACAAAAAGGGTCAAGTGGGAAAATGTGGTCTTGAATACAAAGAAACCAGAGTTTCAAAAGGTAATGTGGATCTAAATTCTATCAGTGGAGGGAAAAATGAAATTGCATCTCTAGTTTGTATTTACTCATAATATTGATCACTAGCGTCTCTGATCTTCCATACAATTACAAGTTTTAGGTTTATGAACATTGCCATAACTATAGACTTTTAAATTTTCTTCTGTCTTTTCTGAATTTTTAATTTTTAATTAATAATCAAGGCAATGTTTGCCATAAATAATTGTTCAGGAGGCAACCAAGGTAAACATTTTCCCCAAAAGATTACAGTGAAGGCAACAAAGACACAGAATCATTTCTTACAAAGATATAAACTCAACAAATCCATATAATTTTTCAAAAAGTTATTTTGTGTTCTATTTCTAGGTGAGCACATGAAGTCTACACTCGCAACTCTTCCTGTGAATCGGAAAAGTGAATGAAAACCAGGGATGAAAACCAATTTCATCAATCTAATACCATAGTGGCATTTTAAAAAGCAACATAAAAAGGTAGAATGAAAATAGCAAATTTTGCATTAAAAACTACTTTAGTAGAAATAAATTAGTATTTTTAATCTTATTGAGGCAATAATTCTACCTTCTATCTTGTTTTATTCCCTCACCTAATGTCTGACATTCAAGTGCTGGTCAAGTTAGTAAGCAAATAAACACATTTCATTCTGAAAAGTCACTGATCAAGATGTTAAATTATATATAAATTGGGCGGCTCCTGTGGTTCAAAGGAGTAGGGCGCTGGCCCCATATACCGGAGGTGGCGGGTTCAAACCCAGCCCCGGCCAAAAACTGCAAAAAAAAGAAAAAAAATTATATATAAATTATAGCAGCTAAATAAAAGACTAAAATGATATATCATGTATTCCTGCTATTAAAAGGCATCCCTTTTAAAGGAGTTTCTAGTGATGCTCTGAGTTTGAAGATTTGCTATGTGAAACATCCTATGCTAGAGACTATATAAAGACAGAACTAAGTATTTTTTGGAGAATTAGCTGTAAATAATTGTTCAGAAGGCAACCAAGGTAACTAATTTGAAAAAAGTAACATGAAAAATTCAGGAGGTAGAATTTAAAAGCCCAGACTTTTTTTTTTCCAGCATGTAACTATTCTAAGAAAAAAAATGCAGTTTGATAGATGAGTTTCTTGATTAAAAATGCATTAATTTTTTTCAAAGTATGTGGTTACCTTCTTACAGGTATTGTCTCTTATCTGCCTTACTTTATATTCAATTATAACTAAAACAGGAAACAAGCAGGTGGGACAGATGAATGAAATATTTATAGCAAAATTGCACATAATAAGCACTAAATATATGGTAAGTAAAGTAATAATTACCAAAAGGCTTAATTGGGATTCATATTTTAATCTCTTATACCCAAACTTTCATTCTACACACAGATACACTTTATATTTAAATAAAATGTATCTATGCAAACATTGATGTCGTGTGCAGAGATATCATTGATGAGATCATCTTGATCATTAAGTTGTCATGGCAACAATATTAGAACCTTATTCTTATATGCGTGATATATAGGAAGCATTCACTAAGTGATTATTGCCACATGAAATGTTCCTGTAAACTGAACTCAATATGAAGTCTCCAAATAATAAGAATAAACAATAAGAAGTATCCAAATTATATTGGGAAGTATGTAAACCAAGTTATATACCTTTTAACCACAGCAAGAGACCGTTTGAAGATAGAGAGATTGATCCTGAGCAAACTGGTAAGGCTAGGTGACTGTATTAGCAGCTTTATTACTCAGAGTTCCTGTTAACTTACCCATACAGGGTCTTCCAACTCCTTGAGACCGATAACCTCTGGGGCAGACACAACGATAGCTGCCTCTTGTATTTTCACATATCTGGTTATATCGGCACTGATGGGTCCCATCTTTACATTCATCAATGTCTACAGACATGGAGGCAATAAAAAGTGGTAACATTTTGCAAACCCAAAGTCATCATATTTAAAGTTAACATTCCGACCAGGCACAGTGGCTTATGCCTATAATCCTAGTGTTCTGGGAGACTGAGGCAGGAGGATGGATCCCTTGAGCTCAGGAGTTTGAGACCAGCCTGAGCAAGAGGCTGCATCTCTACTAAAAACAGGAACACTAGCCAGGCATCATGGCAGGGAGGCTGAGGCAAGAGGATCACTTGAGACCAGGAATTTGAGGTTTCTGTGAGCTATGTTAAAATAAAATTAACATTCCACAGAACTGCCAAAGTAGTTCTCACCATGTGGTTGAAACTTGGAGTCAAATCTTGAGTTCAAGTTCCACCTTTGCCACTTACGAACTGGCTCCTTTCCTTCTCCCTGCTTCCAACTACGGAAAGGGTTTTAGTCGCAGCTGTTTTTCCTCCTTCTCTGCATTCCTTCCTCCTTCACCATTTATTTACACTAGTGATGATTGTTTAGGCAGACTGAGATGGAGAGTGCTGCATCACTCTCCATCTTGATCCCCAGTCCCACCTTTCCAGCTGCTGGCTGGACGTCCTCATCTCACTGTTTTACCATTGCTTCAAGCCAAGTGTGGCCCCAGTGTCTCACCTCTACCCCCTTATTTAGGGTAGCAGCACTCCTTCCCGCCTTCCCAGTCCTCCAGCTAGTGCCAGAGTAATCGTTAACTTAATTCCCTCAATCAGTTGACAAGATTGGGTAATTCTATTTCCTTCACTCAAACCTTATATTTCCACATTTCCAGCCCCTCTTAGCTTATATTTTTGCTATAGCTTCTTACACAGTCTTCTGATCTTTCAACTCATCTCATGCATAATTAAGGAGTCAATGATCCTAAAAATATTTGCAGTTGCTGCACCTGATGCTGTACCTGATAACTGTACCTGATGCTGTAATTTGGCTGCTACTCTTAGTAATTAAGATAAATGTTTACCTGTATCCATAGTGTTAGAGTCTTT